CTTTAGGGTCTTAATGAAAAGTCTATAACATACTTTGGTTAAAATTTCTCAATGGTAGTGTAAAACAACACTAGAGAGAGACTGATTAGAAAGAGACTGTTTACTTTAGCCGTGGAACTGCTAACTAGCATGTTATTAGGAAAGGCGATTTGCAAAGATTCATAAAAGAAATGTATACTCACTTCTTCTGTAGGTGAGGCTGGATCACGAATGATTCGCGCGAACATAAATGCATTTAGGCAGATCGGGGGTGCATTCCCTTCAAAAACAAACGTAATCCACTGCGTCTTCAGCGGCTCAGATGTCGGGAGTAAATGACGACTGATATGTTCATGATTACATCCAACAACAGAACACCCCAATCGCTTAGGAGTCATTCTTGTCTACAACCACTCTGGCGTCGAAACAATGACGGACTGATGACAGCTCAATCAGGGCGGGTCTAAGGTAAGACGGCCTTGTCAATCAACAATCGTGGGAGGGGCCTGGGTCTGTGTGACGTCACACAGACAGGCATCTGAGAATAGCTTGATATGAGAAAGGGGAAATGATTTAACAAGATTTAAAAAAAAAAAAAAAACTGGGTGGATCTTTATCATTATAGGGTGGTTGTGTACAGTACACACACTGCCAACACACATTTCAGTTCAAACAGCTTGTAAAAGTGCATGTCGCATCCGATGACCCCTTTAAGTCATTTTAAAGTCTATTGTTTGCTTAGGTCTATTTTTATTACTACAAAAAAAAATCTGATTACCCGATTAATCGTCAGAATAATCGGCCAATTACTAGATTACCAAAATAATCATTAGTGACAGCCCTAGTTGATTTTGTAGTAAACAAGTAGCTCTTCTAATTAGATCATGCCTTTTTCATGGGGGGCAAAAATAATCACCTTTTTAAATTATTCCATCTGCCAAGCCCAGACTCGCTCATCAGACTGCCAATAAGAGAAGTGTGATTCATCACTTAACAGAACATGTTTCCACTGCTCCAGAGTCCAGTGTTGGTGTGCTTTACACTAGAGACCTGCGCGGGACGGATTTTTCAGTCCCGCTCCCGCAAGATTCTGTCCCGCTCCTGCAGAAATATATCTTATCTGGTCCCGCTCCCGCCCGCGACATTCATGTTTTGTCCCGCTCCCGCCCGCAAAAGCCCGCATAAAAGTAACGCACCCTGTTGCGTTGGGTCCCGCGGGAGTGCAGGTCTCTACTTTACACCACTCCATCTGATGCATGGCATTGTAGCTGCTCGACAAGGGAAACCCATTCCATGAAGCTCCCGCCGCACAGTTTTTGTGCTGATATTAATGCCAGTGGAAGCTATGGAATCAGCAGTGTTGGTGACTTTTACACACCATGCGCCTTGGCACTCAGTGACTCTGCTCTGTAACTTTACCTGGTCTTCCTTGTTGTTGCTGTTCCTAAACACTTCCACTTCCCAATAATACCACTCAAATTTGTGCGCAAAGAAAACAAAAATAACGACTTTATTCAACATTCCTCTCTTTGCATCAGAACGCCGGCTCCTGCATCTGCAGCACCACACGCATGCGTCGTGGTACTCTCCTGTCAGACTGACAGGGAAGAGAAGAAATTGTTGAATAAAGTTGTTATTTTTGTTTTCTTTGTGCACAGAAAGTATTAAAGTATATAAAATTACAGTTGAACCACTGATGTCACATGAACTATTTTATCAGTATCTTACCTTTCTGGGCCTTGAACATGTCAGTTGCGTTGCTATCTATAGAGGGTCAGAAAGCTCTCGGATTTCATCAAAAATATCTTAATTTGTGTTCTGAAGATGAACGAAGGTCTTACAGGTTTGGAATGACATGAGTAATTAATGACAGAATTTTCATTTTTGGGCGAACTAACCCTTTAAGAGGTGTAGTACTTTTGTCCATATAGTGTATATTGAATTTTCATCACAATTTGGAAAAATATCAAGACATTTTTAGCTACATCGTCCAACCAGACGTAAGGTCATAGACTTGAGTTGCACTCACAATCTTCCTGCCTTATCAACGCTCCTTAAGTAGCTCTTCTGTGTCCTTTCCCTGAGTAGAAACTAAAGTTCAGTAAATACATGACTTGCTATCTGTAGTTTGTCTGTGTCTGAGACAGCTGTAGAATTATGATACTAAATGTGGCGTCTCATTTCATAGAGCCTCTTCCCACTCGCCCGTTACTGCATACACAGTGCTGACAGCAAAATTACCAAATATTACCTTTCCAATGACAGATTTAATGAGTAATCTGTTGGTGGGAATTTGCTCTTGAGGGATAAAACAGTTGGTGAACCTAAAATTACAGGTTTTGACAACATGCCAATCGTGCACACTAACCACTCCCCCATATATGTTATAATTCGTCATTTCACTTAACTGATTTGTTGTCAATGCTGTTTCAGAGCAATACTTGAAAATGACCACTAGGTGTCACCGTAGAGACGGGTGTCGAATTGTTTTGAAGCCTCGGCACATTTCCTTCGACTGTTTCAGTGTTTCATGAAGCCTCGCTCTGCCCACCACTAAATACTGGCACTAGACTAATGAACTGGCTCCGTAAAGTTGCTATCAACTACTCTGTGATAAACGCAAGCAATACTCGGCCCTGAATGATGGTCGGGGCCTCGTATTTATAGTGTGTGTGATTGGATGCAGGTGAGAGTGTAATCAGTGAAGTGGAGCATGGGAAATGTAGTCCGGGGTGACATGTAACAGTTTGTGTAGTGTGAGAGTCAACATAATAGAAAGGCGACCTCTGGTGGCGAGCAGATGGAAGACCACGTACAGGATTCGTGACACAGAGAATTCATTTTGGTGCTAACTGCAAATTTTAATTCAGTGGTTGCAGTACAGCCAGTGACCTCATACATAAAACCATGCATATTTTTTGCCATATGTATATCTATGTGTATGTCAACGAATTGCTGCTGCATTGACCACTGTTTTGGCACGTTTGAATACAGTGGTGGTCAGGTGCTTTAGGAAACCCATTTTTGGAAAACACTGTGAGAGCAAGCCATCACAACACTGCAAACCATTGCCAAACATTGCCATTGAGCATTCAACATGCAAATGCATGTGTGGTGTCGAATTGTTTCGAAGCCTCGGCACATTTGCTTCGACTGTTTTAGTGTTTCATGAAGCCTCGCTCTGCCCACCACTAAATACTGGCACTAGACTAATGAACTGGCTCCGTAAAGTTGCTATCAACTACTCTGTGATAAACGCAAGCAATACTCGGCCCTGAATGATGGTCGGGGCCTCGTATTTATAGTGTGTGTGATTGGATGCAGGTGAGAGTGTAATCAGTGAAGTGGAGCATGGGAAATGTAGTCCGGGGTGACATGTAACAGTTTGTGTAGTGTGAGAGTCAACATAATAGAAAGGCGACCTCTGGTGGCGAGCAGATGGAAGACCAGGTACAGGATTCGTGACACAGAGAATTCATTTTGGTGCTAACTGCAAATTTTAATTCAGTGGTTGCAGTACAGCCAAAGTGACAGTAAAGACATTTATAATTTACCAAAAAAATGTGTCATGGTTTCGACAAAAATATTAAGCAGCACAACTGTTTACATTGATAATAGTAATAAAAAGGATCATGTGACTGCAGACGGGCTGCTGAGAATTCAGCTTTGCCATCATAGAAATAAATTACATTTTGACTTATATTAAAGCAGAAAAGTGTTATTTTAAATTGCAATAATATTTCACAGTATTACAGTTTTTACTGTGTTTTTTTAATCAAATAAATGCAACCTTGGTGAGCATAAGACATTTAAAAATCTTACAGACCCCACCCCAAACTTTTGAATGGTTTTAGTGTATGACTAATAACACATGCAGAAGGGTCATTACTTCCCAGTCTTTGCAAGATCTAGCGGCTCTTTTCAGGGGTCATCTCTCAGTGCCTTGACACTGACACAAGACACCACTACACCGCTGGCATTTTACCCTCCCAACCATACGAGACAGCTAGACACTCTAAAGCCCCGGCAACAGAGACTGAGCGCTGAAGCCTAAGCCGTGAAGAGACAGGTAAACAAAAGCCTGCTGCTGTTCTGCAACACTGTATATGGCATCAGAGGGACGCTTATTGATTGTAAGTGGAGACCAGGTCATGTTCACCATTGTGAAAATGCTCTCAGTGAAGTAATGGGGTCTCTTATGTACGGTTTTAGCTTACTGGTAAACAAGCTGCACTAACATGTTTTCTTAAGGTGGTTTGCAGGGTGTGAAGTTGAGGCTTGCTTTAGTTACATTTTAATTTCAACTGATTTACTGTTAATGTGCTTCTGAGAAATGTGAGTTTAAGTTTAACAAAGCTTTTAATGTGACAGAAACGTAATAATGTTAGTCGAATGCAATAATGAAACTACTCAATAAATCGTTGCACAGCCTGTAACATTATATTAAATGGCTGTCATATGAAACATTTTTGGATGCACTATATAGCATAAATTGCATGCTGACCCTGGGTCAGTGTGTGGGATTTCTAACTGATTATGTGGTGATTCATTGTAACCAGGGGACCTGCATTAAATGTCAGAAGATGAAATTTGTATCTGAGCTTTCTGTAAATTTCATCTCTCTCCCTCATTCGGTGTGATGTGAATGGGAATGACCTTGTCCCAATGAGAGAGCCATTTAAAATGCTTTTCAACCTGCTTTGAAACACAGTGTTTAAACACAGCTCATCTGAACATTTTTAAATAGACACCACCTTTACACGCCCAATGAACAAATAATGGTTCAAGGCAATTCATTTTGCAGCTGCAAAACATACCAGCTGGCTTGTGCCAAGCAATATAGAGACAAATCCTTCACTTTGGGGTGAGTTGTCTGTTCAATTGAGAGATTGGTGCCTTTTAACAATTTGTTTCACATGTACGCAGTTATCTGACGTGCACTACTTAGCTGGATATAGTCTTGCATCCTCAGATAAATTAATGCATTTGTATTTATAGTCCTTCTTGTCTTTCACTTGCAGTTTAGCTTGTGTTGTGCCAAGTTTGCTTGAGGGTCTCGTCAGTGGAAGACTGTTATGACCACTTGATCCAACTTCCAGTCATCGTGATTCAGAGTCTTGGCGCAAATTGAAAAGTAACATCAAGTGTGGCAGTGACGTCTTAAAAAACAGGTGACAAAACAAGTTACTAAAGGAAATCAACAGACTGACTGAGAAATATTGACTTGCAGCAAAAGGTCTGGTTCACATTGAAGCTTATTCTCAAGGACTCGCATGCTAAAACAGCAAACTAGTTTATTTTGTTTTTTCTGCTTCCATTTATGAGGCATGTTTGTCTGAAATAAATTATACCACAACAATGAACCAGCCTAGAAAACATTTATATATAACATATATGTGACTCTGGACCACAAAATCAGCCATACGTAGCACGGGTATATTTGTAGCAATAGCAAACAATACATTGTATGGGTCAAAATTATCGATTTTTCTTTTATGCCAAAAATCATTTGAATCTTAAGTAAAGATCATGTTCCATGAAGATATTTTGTAAATTTCCTACCATAAATATAATTTTTGATTAGTAATATGCATTGCTAAGAACTTCATTTGGTCAGCTTTAAATGCGATTTTCTCAGTATTTAGATTTTTTTGCACCCTTAGATTCCTGATATTAAAATAATTGTATCTCGGCCAAATATTGTCCTATCCTAACAAATCATATATCAATGGAAAGCTTATTTATGTATACATCTTTACCCTTAAAATATACCCTTATGACTGATTGGTCCAGGGTCACACACACACAAACACACACACACACACACACATATATATATATATATATATATTGCCTACCTAAACAATATGTAGATTGAGACCAAACCTAAATGTAGGTGTGCACAGCCTGAGGAAAAATCTAATTTGGGGGAAAATGATTACTATCATATTTAAATAACATATTTCACTGTAAAATTAAAATAATAATAATAATTTTAATTTGTACAAGAACAAGAGCTGCACTTCACAGTGAAACTTGCAGCACATACATTTAATTAAATCACAGCCTTTTCGACTTGATAATTGTTTAATTTTAGTTTGTTTCGTGTAATGGTGTAGCCCTACCTAAATGTATAAGATAAGGTGGAACTTCTAATGTGGCTTTGCAGCAAGACATAGCGAGTATTTCTACATGATCACATGAGTCTAAACAGGTGTGGCGATTATAGAGATTCCGGGGGCTCCTGTCAAGGATGCACACCATGTTTGTGCACACAAATCCTTTACTTACCGCAGGCTGTCAGCCAGAATTGTAAAGAGCTCCATTACAAACAACCGTAAAGTTTATATAGTCGCTGCAACCTGTATGGCATCTCCATGCAGTGAATTATGGTCTTTAAATATATAGGAGCGACTGGAAAGGAAACAATGCGCTCTGACCTCACCTCTACCTCTCTCTGTCTCAGTGGAAGTGTAAAAGCATGTTGAGTTTACATGTTTACACTCTAGTTGCACACCAGTGTGTTCTGCTGTTGAAATGATGCCTCATGACTTCAAAGCATTCCTGTTCAGATAGGGAGTGTTTTACATTAAAGGCTTTGAGGTCAGTTTGTATCCATTTAAAAAAATAGCTCGTATTTTGAGGGGGAAAAAAATCAACACCCATTTTTATAATGCCAAGAAACTACATTTCATGTCTTCTGCTTCGTTTAAATTTTATTTTATTTATTATAAATAATTTTAGAGCTCTTCTATGGCTATTCTGCGTGGCTTGTCTGCCAAACGTTCAGGATGTAGCGTGGGAGTTTATGGTGGTGGAGTCATGTCTGATACCACATGCTTTATCTCTCAGAGACCAGCGAGCTTCCTGTGCTATACTGCTGTCTCCAAGGCTGAATTTTTCTTGGCTCTTTATTACATCATAGTGCTCCTTCACACTCTTATTGTATATCGCTTTGAGTTAGCTCAAAGACTATATATACAGTGGGTACGGAAAGTATTCAGACCCCCTTAAATTTTTCACTCTTTGTTATATTGCAGCCATTTGCTAAAATCATTTAAGTTAATTTTTTTTCCTCATTAATGTACACACAGCACCCGATATTGACAGACAGACACAGAATTGTTGACATCTTTGCAGATTTATTAAAAAAGAAAAACTGAAAAATGCTCAGGTCTGTGCGCTGTGCCATGCAATGAGAGGTACCATACTCTCAAGAACTATAAACTTTGTCACCTAGATACCTAATTGGGCAGATAGCTGGTCAACTGATCAAAAAATAGGCACATGCATTTTACTGTGGCACAGTAATATAGTAATAATTTACTATAATTATTAATAGTTTTACTGTTGATTTCCCCTTTTCCTGATCATTTGGAATGAGGATAAAAAGACAAAAAACAAACAAACTGTATTACTTTCTCCTGTTTTATTGTTGGTTTCCTCTTTTCTGATCATTTGGAATGAGGATAAAAATACAAAAAACAAAAAAACATGCAAATAAGTTCAAACATCAATTCAATATATACTATTTCCTGAATATTATGAAATTCAAGATGGCGTCTGATGACGTCATAATATGCAAATTAGATGAGTATATTTACACCCCACATAAACTTTCGGTCATGCCCAACATTTTTCTAATTTACAGTAGATCTCTATCTTTAAGCCCTCTCAAGCCACAAGCTTTTGAAATCTTGTCAAAATCCAGCATTTTTTCCAAAAAACCCTGGCGCCTAAAGGGTTAAAGAGAAAATAATCACTTCATCCGATGTTTAAGTGAATAAAATAGCCTTGAGTTCCTCAACTATTGGCTTTGTTCTCTCTCACCGGACTCGTGTGTGTGTAGGTGATGT